AGGGCCAGCCTTCAAGAAAAACAAACAAACAAAAAACAAACCCATGATAACACAGTCTCAAGCTGATCAGATGCTGGCCAGATACCAGCCAGATGGGCAGTTGTGGTTTGTACACAGGAGTGTCTATGTGGTGTGGGGGGAGGGGATGAGGAGTCCTTATCTGACAGTGCTCATAAGGAACCATGTGGTGGCTTCTGGGCTGCAACAGGAACCATGCAGGGCAGCAGCAGTGGCTCAAGTGCTGAAGCCCTGTCACCTCCCTATCCTCTCCTCGAAATCCCTTCCCCCTTGAGCCAGGCCTGGGTTCCTGCAACGTCAGCAGAACACATTGGACAGGGTGACTTTGGTCTAACTGGTCAAGCTCTGTAAACCATAGAAATACCTTCTGCCCCAAACACGCACAGCAAATTAACTCAAGTGACATGGAGACAGCCTCTGGTACTGGAAACCAAGCCCTGAGCAAGCTGTGGTCACCCCACAATGAATGCTAGACCAAAGGTGAATCGAGAGTCTTCCCACCAGACATAGACCCACACGCCAAATGGGAAACATGCCTGTCACATGTTTCACAGGCCCTGAAGAGGACAAAAGGAATTACTGGGTTAGGGAGATGGCTCAGTCAGCAAAGTGCTTGCATTGTACGCACAGGGTCGTGATTTTGATCCCCCAGAACCCCCATTTTAAAAGCCAGGTGTCATGGCATGTGCTTATAATCCCAACACTAGGTAGGCAAATATAGTCACATCCATGGGACTCACTGGCCAGCCAACATGGCCTGCTTGGTAGACTCCAGGCTGTGAGAGGCCCTGTCTCAAAAAAAGGTGGTTGGTCCCTGAGGAATGACAGTTGAGGTTGGCCTCTGGCCTCTACATGCACATGTATACATGTATGTGTACAAACTCACTGGCACACATGAGTGCACACACACGCACACACAGCGGAAGCTCAAGCGCCCTCAGTAAAAAACAAAAGAAGCACATCTGGTCACACACTCTGCAGGCCTGTGGAGAGACAGACAAGAGGCAAATTGCTCAGCCATGCCAAAGCCAGGAACACACTTGCTGGCGTCTCTGCTGTCTGTCCCATCACGCTTCCCCCAGCATCCTTGCTACAATATTAAAGAGAAACCAGGAAACAGAGTGCTGCTGGATAGTGTCATGACAGCCAATGCCCAGTGGGGATAAAGCCTTCTGCTCCCACCTGGAGGACGTGCGGCAGGCGGGGTGGAGCTCTCATCCACCACACCTGTCTAGAGAAGCTAACCTCCACACCTTTGATAAGACCTGACACAGCTTCAAAGCACTCTGCAGAAATGGTGGCTTAATGGTACCAGGGGTGTCATCCTGGCTCTTGCATATGCTAGGCAAGCATCCAACCACTGAACCACATCTCTAGCCCCGACATGGCCATTTTGAGTATGTGCTCAAGAATGAGGCTAATGGAGGCTTAAATCTAAACTCACCCAACATCCAAACCTTAACTACTGACTAGGAAAAGGGCTGTGAAGATGGAGGTCTAGCGCAGGTGCTATGGACCTGGGCACATGTCTATTTTCATTATGGCCTAAGCATCCACTAGAATGCTTCCTAGGCCAACAGTGCGGCATTGCACAGGTGGCAGAGGATATGGGGCAGCAAAGGAAGCATCAGTCAGACCCAAGCTCTCAGGCTTGAGCCTGGTCTATGCCACTCTGTCATATCTGTTGCTCTAGAGCCAGTGTCCTGAATAGTATTTAGGTCAACTTGACACAGGCTAGAGCCATCTGAGGGACCCCCAACTGAGAGAATGCTTTCCATAGGATTGGACTGTGGGTAAGCCTATAGGACATTTTCTTAGTGACTGATGAGGGAGGGCCCAGCCCATTGTGGGTGGGAGCACCCTTGGCCAGGTGGTCCTGGGTTCTATAAGAAAGCAGGCTGAGCAAGCCATGAGGAGCAAGCCAGTAAACAGCATCCCTTTGCAACTTCTGCATCAGCTCCTTCCATCAGGGTCCCACCCAGTTTGAGTTCATGCATTGGCTTCCCTCGGTGAACTGTGATTAAGGATATGTAAGTCAAACAAACCCTTTCCTTCCCAGTTGCTTTTGGTCATAGTGTTTCATCACAGCAATAGTCACCCTAACTAAGACAGCAAGAGTCAGTAAAGTGATTTTCTAGGAAGAACCAGACAGTATTTTCATGGTCTTTGACACAACTATTCAATTTTACCACTGTAGCCCAGAAGCAGCATGGACAAAATGTATTTGAATGTGTATGGCTGTGTGTCAATAAAACTTTATTTACAAAATGAATTGGTGGGCCAGATTTGGCCCTAGGAGGAATGTTTGCTAGCGTCTGCTCTAGGGTTTTGGTGTTTATAAAGTTTATATAGCCAACAACAACTGAACTGGGACTAAATGAAAAAGAAGTCTATATTCTTTCTACGTGCCAGCCAACCTTCATATGACTACTGCTGTTCTCTGGGTCACAGTTATATGTATAGTGATATATTATTTATGACTTCTTAAAGCTTTCCTGAGGATTCAGAAAGCAAAGTCAGCCACAAGCCATAGAAGCCAGGCACACACCTTTAATCCTAGCAGTTAGAAGCTAGGAGATGGTGGTACAATATCTGTCTCTGGGCCTTTTATTTTTTGTGTTACATATATGGGTCTCACTCATGCCCAGTTTTACCTTTGCTGCCAGGAATCTATCCCTATCTCCAAAATCCTTGGTGTCCGTACATACACACACACACACACACACACACACACACACACACACACACACCAGATTATTGCTTCTTCACAAGATCCCAACTTCTTCCCCTAAGCCTGAACAAGATACTTAAGGATGTAAACAACTAACCAGTGTCACCATCAGGGTCATGTCTTTTTGAGGTTAAAGTCACAGGCTTTCAGGATTGCTCCGAAGATTTCCTTCCCAAATGGTGAGGGTGTAAACCTGCAGGCCACTCCTCAGTGTTTCCTTTGCCTGTGGGAATTGTTAGGGTTGTTTTTTCTTTAATTATGGAAAACAGTCTTCATAAACCAGAATGAGGGTGGCCAAGAAAATGGCATAACTGAGAAATCATAGTGTCTCATTTCCTTAACATGATTAACGCTTACTGCCAGCCAGACCAGCATCCCCCAGCCAGGGCAATACCTCACCCTGTAGATACTGCAGGTCTTGGCACCATGGATAGCACACAGTGAGCACCTCAAGAATCCATGACAGCTGCTGTTCCCTGGGGAACAACCATGACTAACCCAGCTGCCAAGCTTTGGAGTCTGCAAGTCATTTGAATATACATTTAAGATCTCTTTTATGATACTAACCGACCGCAAATGGCTGGCTGGAGACAAGTCAGGGTTTCTCTTTATCCATTCCCCCTCCTAATTTAGTGAGCTTCTTTGACTACAGGCTAATGATTCCTCCTTGTGTTCTTTTAGGGACAGAGCTCTCCCTAGAGAAGACCAGCCATTGTTATTCTATCTTGCAGCACTCTCTTGACATAGAGGAGGTGGGGAGTTTGGGTGGTTTTTTAATTTCTTTTTTTTTTTCTTTTTTTGGTTTCACAAAGGAGACTGAGGATTTCATGGCCTGATTTAGGTCAGCATGCTTGAAAAGGAGGGAGGATAAAGCCACAGGGGACCCAGGTGCTTTAGAAATCCAATCTGCTTTACCCCAGCAACCTCAGAGAAGCAGGACAACTCTCCGTCCTCCTGGGTGGAAGTCACCTTTCTAAATAGACTATTCCACAGACAGATGGGGGAGTGGGAGTTTTCCAATCTCTAGATAAACCAGAATCCTGCCTAGGGCAGACAGGGATGTTCAGCGCTTCTATTCCCTTCCACAGAGCTCGCTGTGCCCCTCTCTGAAAAGCCACACAAACCTACATACAGGTGTCTATCATTTACTAACTTATTTCACCTTTGCAATGACCCCACCCTACAGATGAGGAGGCTGAGGCACAGAAAGGCTAGGGAATCTTGTCTGAGGAAAAGTGACATATCACTTATAAAAGCGAAGCTGGGACGCAAACTTTGGCAGTCCAGCTCTGAGCCCTCATGGTCCACAAGTTGCCTCTCTGTGCATCCTGTCTTCAAAATGAGCAGGACTATGACATCTTCACAAGAGTGCTCCCGAGAGCACAGAGCCTTCGGTCTGGGTGGGCCAGGAAGGCCTGAGCCCAATTGCTAGGTTTTGTACCTACAGTGGTATATCCCAGGAATGGAGGAAGGGTCTCCCATCCTAAGTCATGGGATCACCCATGAAAGTGTCCACATGACTCAGCCCCGGACTCCCAAGACAGTGGTCTTCCCAACATCTTCCTACAACTCAAGACAAAAATACACAATTATATTTCAAATTCAGTCCTTTCTTCAATGAGAATGAACTCACAAAATAAATAAGATGCAGAGACACAAGTGACCTGAGCCATTTACCCGTGCCTGATTTTAATCTGTGACCAAATGCACATCTTAGCAAGATGGCTGGCATGGGTTGTGACTTCAGTGATGCCAACTTCTCCCTTCTTAAACACCAGACAGACCTATGGGCAAAGGCTGCCTGAGAGATCCCCAGCAGAGCCAAGGGCCGGAGAAGGTGTGGCATGGGCATCTAAGCGACTCCAGCAGTAGCTCGAGGCATGGCTGCACAGTCCAGCACTCAGGGGCACAGTCCAGGACTGACAGTTGTCCCCAAAGGTGGGCACACACAGCACTCTCCTCTGTCCCTCCTGTCACAGTTTCCCTCCAACATCTGGCCAGAGAAAACAGACAAACAGGGACCCTCACTCACCATGCCCCAGAGGTAGCTTCAAAACTCAGAGTCAGGCCTAAGAAGTTTATCATTTAAAGTAACAAATGTCAGCTATCACATCTCAGGTTAGTCTCACTCAGAATAGCATGGAGAAAGATCAGACAGACACACACACACACACACACACACACACACACACACACACACACACACACACACAGACCTCCACTACCAGAAGGTTCTCTGGCCACATCCTACCTGCTTCCATGAGCTGGCATTGTTGGCCGAAGACACGAGAGAAGGTAACGCGGCCTGTGGGGGAACTGGATACCATCAGCACCGACTCCATGACGGCAGTAGGTCCTTGCTTGCTGTTATCCTTAGTCTTGTGGCTGTGATGGGATGCTCAGTGTCCCGCCAGCAGGCTTTCTCGCTATCCCAAGAACAGTAGTAGACTTGGGGCCACTTGTCCCCTTCAAAATAAAATATTTCTCTGTCTCCAAAGTTTACAAGGCGCCTTGCACTCAGCACTCTGCTCTGTTCCTTGCAGTTTTTTCTCAAACCGGGTCAGGTCAGGTGAGAAATGACACGCTGAAGTTCTGCAAACCTGGGGTGCCACGAGCGAGCCTTAGCAGGAGAGCCCAGTCTAAGCTGCCCCAACAGGAGTTACTTCCTCTCTCCAGGAGGAGCCTGGATGTGGATGGGCCTCTCCTGTAACTGGGGAAGAGACAATTGCTGCTCAGCCCTGGGTCACACTAGCTAGAGAGGGCTCCAGCCCTGCTGCGTCCCAGCACCAGCTACAGGCAAAGCGCTTGCCCAGGCTCCCTGGGGAGCTGGCCTCACAGGCAGCAGTACTGGGTTCCTGGGTCCTGGCTGGCCCTCCGCGGCTCCAGGATCTTCTGGGTCCCAGGGACCGCTGCAGCCTGGGAAGACACCGAGAGGTGTGCTCTGCAGTTCGAGCGGGCGCTCTGCAGCTGGGGGACCACCGTTGTCGCTGGCTCAATCTTCACTCCCCCAGATGGCTTTGCTTTCCAGTTCCCCGCAGCCTGGCCTGGCAGTGGGAACCCGCGGAATGACACATGCTGACAGAGCTCCTGCTGCGACCTACTGCAGCGGGTGTCCCTAGCCCGCTTTGCTGCCTGCTTTCCGTGATGCAAAAGGGGCTGTTACTTGGAGAGCTCCTGGATGTGGAGGGGAAGTGCTAACTCAGCCCAGCAGGCTCCAGGGCTGGAGTAACCTCTTCATGTCCGCAGCCAAGGAAGCGCCAGACCGGGGACACTAGATTGCTGGCAATGGAATTCATAAATCCGGGAGAGGATAGCTGAGGAATGCCATCCATTCCCAGTGACCCCGGAGGGAGACAGCAGAAAGAGGGCCGCATCTCAGCCACCCTAATTCACCCCGGGCTAGGAGTGAATGTTCAACCCCACTATTTCAAACAGATGGTCAGTTTGTCGGGGGCGGGGGTGAGAAGGGATACTTTGCACAGGGTCACAAGTACTGCCTGGGTGGGCACTGGGTCTTGAAGTTGCCATTCCATCGGCGGATAACAAAAATGCTTTTAAAGACACTGCCCCACCTCACCCCAGCTCAGCCAGTCCTGGCGGTGCTTTCTCTGGGGATTCAGCTTCAACACTGCTGGGACTGGAAACAGCAATCACCTGGTTCGCAGAGCCTGGAGCACCTGGAGGGAGAGAAGGTGCTCCAATCAACGCCCCAACTCCCTCCCCCGCGCGAGCCGTGGCCACAAGTCAACTAAAGCACTAGTGTCTGTTTTCCCCCAGAGACATTTTTACCCTCTTCAGGACTGAAGGTGCAGTTCCTTTTGGACACACAGGGTCTCGACAGGAAGGAGCCTTTCCCATGCTAGCCCTTGGCTGGCAGAGGTGACATAGGTATGTAGTCAGGGTTACCTAGGAGCCAGAGGAAGCCATGAAGCAGCCCCAGAAGTCAGAAGAAGTCTGATTTCATGTTGGTGCCATTTTTTTGTTGGTTGATTTGGTTTATGAGACAGACTCTCACTTATGTAGACCAGACTAGCCTCTGCTAGGATGAAAGGTTTGCACCAACACTCCCAGCCTGTCTTCCAGTGTCTTAAATGACAGAGTATCTCTTTTCTTGTCGTAGGCAAGGCTCTCTTTCACATCATGAAATCGTAGGACAACAGAGATCGCTCTCTGTCACAGGGAGGGAGAGGGTCCAAGGCAACCATAGACTGGGGTCACAGGAAGTCATGACTGAAAAGTTTCTACACTCCGATAAGCCTCTCCCCTGACACAGCAGTCCAAATCAGACCAAATCAAACCGAATTAGAAAAAGTCCCGGATGGGCTTGCAGTCCCCCCTCCCCAAGAGATGGAAAGGGGGACAGGAAAAACCACAAGTCTGGTTTGTGGGGGGCACTTTAAATAACCTGTGGAAGTGGTCTTGAGCACCTCTGGGGGGAAGGGTCATCATTTGGCAGGCTTTCTGAGATGCAACAGTGTTTGGAGAGAGATAGGGAGGGGACTTGGGTGGAACCTCCACCACCAGAACATCCCAGACTCTTTGGGTATACGGATGCCAGGGGCTGGGGTGAAGTTTCCACCTTAACAATGACTTTTGTCAAGAGGGGAAATGGACCACTTTCCAGGGACCAGAGTAACCCTGGTGCTACCTAATACTCAAAGTCATCAGGCTGTCCTGTTGGATAAATGGAAGCACTGTGACTTACCAGGGTACGAGGTGTAATTTAAGAAAAGTGGCACATGAGAGAAAGACACCATGTGACAGGATTCAAGCAGAGGTTTTTTTAATTAGGTAAAGGGATCCTAAAAGGGGCAAAGGAAAGGGGGAGACTGGCCTCCTCCTGAAACAGGAAAAGCAGGAGAGAGAAGAGAGGAAAGAAGGGGAGAGGGAGAGAGAAAGGGGAACAGACAGAGAGCTGGAGAGAAAGAGAGAAGGATGAGAGGTGGGCAGGGCCCTTTTCAAAGGGAACACAGTGACTATGCACAGGGGGCGCTCTTAGTGGCAGCAGCTGTCAGAGCTCCAAGGACAGGCCAGTACAGATGCCTGAATACTAAGATGTGGCATGAGCCAGGATGCGTGGATCTGCACGAGAACTTCCCTACCTGGGCATGGGATTTCATTACTCAAAGACAGATGCAGATTCTATTTCATTAAATGCTTCCACGTACTGCAGAGTGTCTGTGTTAGTTTATATTGGACATATCATGTAATGTAACTAGTATTGGTTACTACATGTGAAATTAATCTTACCATACTTCCATGTCTTTGGAGAGAGAGAGACAGAGACAGAGAGAGACAGAGACACAGAGAGACAGAGACACAGAGAAACAGAGACAGAGAGAGAGCTGGGAGATCTAACAGGTGTCTTCCACTTGAGTTCACTGTTTTGCTTTGCCCTTACTTAATTACTAACCCCCCTCCCCAATACTTCCTGGAAAGTGTGCTAGCCCCTCAGGTTTTCCTCTCAGGAAAGTTCCTGTTCAAGCCCTTGCCCATTCTTCTGGTCCTGTTCTATTTCCTTATTTTCTTATTTTCACAAGAGTTCCCTTGTGACCAATGCACATGAAACACCTGTTTATCCCTAGGCTTTGTCAGTGTCTTCTCGCTGTAGGTCATCCCTGTAGTTTTTGCCCCTGGTATCTTTCTTTAACTAGAAACAAGTGTGGTCAGACCCACTGAGTTTTGGACTGACAGTTTGATCTGCTAATCTTGCCAAAGTCGTTCTTCCTCATGCCGGGGTGGGTCACAAAGTTAGCCTCTTACAGAGTTTCACCTCTCATGCTATGATGGTTAATTTTAGTTATCACCCCAACACAATCTAGAAACACCTTGGATGAGAGTCTCCCTGAGGGACTATCTATGTCATGTTGGCCTGTGGGTATGTCTATGGGGAACTATCTTGATTATATTAATTGAGGTGGGAAGACCCTGCCCACTGTGGGTGGCATCATTCCCCAGACTTAAGAACCCAAACTGTACAGGAGTACAGAAAGGATGCCATCTAGATAGCTCAGTTGGTAAGGACACTTGCCTCAAAGCCTAACATGGTGGAAGGAGAAAACCAAGTCCCACTAGTGGCCCTCCGGTCACATGCATGCATTGGCGTGTGCACATGCGCACACACACAGAAACAAATAACTGGGAAAAGGGTAGCTGAGTGTAGGCCTGAAAACGTTGATTCATCGCCCTCTGCACTTGATTGTGAATGTGATGTGACCAGGTGCCTTCAATTTCTTACCACTTTGACTTCCCTATCATGACGGACCGTATCCTGGGGCTGTGAGTTGAACCCTTTCCCCTTAAGTTGATTCTTTTCCAGCGCATTTTGTCACAGCAATAGAAAACAAAACTAAGATACATACAAAGTCTATGAGGCGCCAACTTACAGATCTGGTATTAAGTAGTAGCAGGTTCCCCTACCCCATAATATTGTGAACCAGATTTCTTCAAACAATCTTTTTTTCCTTCTGTAGTGGACTGACTGTGCCCTTCCTACAGTGTTGTATATTAAAATCGTAACCCCAAATATGAGGCTTCTAGAGGTTACGGTACTGAGGAAGCCAATTAGATTTGGAGGGTGGGGCCTCATGAATGGGATCAGTGTCCTTATAAAAAAGACACCAGAGATCTCCTTTGCTCTCTCCACCATATGAACACAGTGAGAAGCAGGCAGTCTGCCACCTTAGGAGAATGTCCTCACCAGAACCAGACCACGCTGACACATTCAGCTCAGAGTTCCAGTCTGAAGAATAGCAAGAAACAGTTGTTGCTGTCTAAGCCACCCAGCCTATGGTAATTGACTGAGGCCTACACAGCCTGCCCCACCGTGGCTTCAATATCATCATGCAGTCTATTTCAATGGATGTGAGAAGACTTCTCTACCCTGGTCTGTGGATTCCCAATACTATGATATCAATGTCAGCATTTTAAAGTTACTCACTGACATTTCTGTGTGTGCGTGTACATGTGTTCATATGTGTACGTGTGTGTGCTTATTTATGCATGGGGTAATCTCAGATGCTGGCTACTTGGTTTTTGAGACAGGGCCTCTTCATTGGCCCAGAACTCAACTGTTCAGTTGACACATGAATTCTGCTGCTGTCATAAAATAGCCTGATAAAAAGGCAACTTAGGGAAGAAGGGTCTTACTTGAGCTTACTGGTCCAGAGGGGAGACAGTCCATCTTAGCAGGGAAGACAAGACAGTAGGAGCCCAAGACCTGTCTGAGAGGCAAGAAGCTGGCTGATCGATCATATTCCATACGCATACAGGAAGCAGAGAGACAGAACAGGAAGGAGGGCGAAGCTATAAAACCCCAAACCCACCCCTGGTGATGTACTTCTGTCAAGGCCCCTCCTCCTTAAGATCCCCTAACCTTTCCCAAACAGCTCTGCCAACTGAGGACTATGAGTTTAAGTTCTTGAGCTGATGAGGGACATTTCTCATTCAAATTACATCACCCAGGCTAGCTGGCCAGTAAGCCCCCCGAATCCCCTGAGCTCCACCTTCCCAGTGCAGGGATTACAAATCTATGCTACCACACCCAGCTTTTCATATGGGCCCTGGTGAATCAAATTTAGATTTGCACAAGAAGCATGTTACCAACTGAGTTGTTCCTGGCCCATGAACCCACATCTTAAGAGCTCTGGGTTTTTGGTAGGTCAGATTTCCAGCACGGAATTTTCTTTCTTTTTTTTTCTTTCTTTCTTTTTTTTTTTTTTTTTTTTTTTTTTTGGTTTTACGAGACAGGGTTTCTCTGTGTTGTTTTGGAGGCTGTCGGTCCAGCCTGGCCTCGAACTCACAGAGATCCACCTGCCTTTGCCTCCCCAGTGCTGGGATTAAAGCCGTGTGCTACCACCGCCCGGCTCCAGCACAGAATTTTCTTGCCTCATGCTCTGTCAACTGGTGCAGCAGGGATCCCCATTCCTGTGTGTCTAGCCTATAGCACAGCTTACTCATCACAAACAAAGATGTGTTAAGGGTTAGAAACAGCTTCGATGGTTGGGGGGTCACTGGCCAATGGAAAGGGCTCTTGTTCCATCTTTGCTAGATCATTGATTAAATGTCTAATTGATACCCAACTCTGGACACAAATAGATGGAAAATGGGGAGAGGAGAAAGTGGAGAGGGGTACTGGGAAAGGCAACATGTCTTCTGTCTGTCTGTCTCTGATAAGCTTAAGGAGCTATTGGCCATACACGTAGGCCAACATACCACACAGTACATCACAGCTTGGGAGGCCTTCTTGTTGCGGTGCAGGTGAGGGCTAGCCCTTTAATGGCACTCCAAGAGCGTCAGAGCTGGCTAAGAATCAGGGAAGAGCTGCCCCTGAAGAAGGAAAAAGCCGCTGCTAGAGGAGAGAATTTTGACACAATCAAGCCCTTTGTGAAAGGCCGGTTTAAAACGCCGTGTTGTGCTGAAAAAGTTTTAAGGTCCACTTAGGGCTTGTGAGAAGGAGATGAATTTTCCCTGCATCAAGACAGTGCGCAGACCCACATTTCTAAGCATCCCCTGGGTCCCTTTTCAGTCGGATAAGATCCTAAACTGACTTTCCCTGAAGGGCTCTCTTGACCTTGCTTCGATTCAGCAACCCTTGAGAGCTAAGGACTGATTCCACAGGTCAGGTCAGGCTCATCTGCTTTCACCCACAACTCCAGCTAAGTGCCAAGAAGCAACTACCACCACGTAGCATGGACAGAGGCAAGGTGAAGGACCACCTATAGTAACACGATCCTGAGATTAGAAGTAGCTATGATATTTCGTTTCTCATAGGTGAAGAGTACTCTCTGTCAGTGGGTAATAATGCAGTACGTTTATGGGTACATTTTAAATGAGGACGTTTTCGTTTTGGATCATGGTTCTTAGAAGACCAAGGTGGAGTGGCTTCATCTGTGAGAGTCTTCGTCCTTGCAGAGTCCCTGGGAGGTACATGTCATCACATCAAATGTGCCCCCCCTCCCCAAAACTCACTCACAGATTGAAGGCCTGGCTCCCAGCAGATGCGGTCACTGAGAGGTGATTGGCTCATGAAGATGCTAACATGTTGAGTGATCAGCCTACCAGTGAGTTCATAGGTTGAAGGGCTATTAGGAGGTGGGGCCTAGTTGAAGGAAACTGGTCACCAGGGAAGTGTCTTTGATAGATTGTCTTGTCCTTATTCCCTTCCCTGACCTCTTTCCCTCCCTCCCTCTCTTCTTTTTTTCTGTTGCCAGGAGGTCAGTACCTCTCTCCATCTCACTATTGTTCATGATGCACTGTTTCACTACAGGCCTGAAAATAATGGGGCCAGCTAACCATCCCACCCAGCCTCTGGTGATTTGACCACAGGCCAGAATCTCTAAAACCATGAGCCCAAATGGGCCTTTTCTTAAGTTGGCCTGCATAGATATTTTGTCACAGTAAGCCACACATTGTAATGTGTCTCTCTGGTCTCTCTACTCTTACAGAGTCACCAGTAGTCCATCATGGGGACACTGATGTAGGGTGTCCTTCTGTATGCCGTAAATATGCGTTGCTTTATTGGTTGATGAATAAAGCTGCTTTGACCTGTGGTAGAGCAGAATATAGCCAGGCGGGAAAACCAGAAAGAATACAGGGAAAAAAGAAGGCAGAGTGGAGAGAGACACCAGCAACCACTGGAGAAGTAAGATGTCAGAGCATTACCTGAAAGCCACGGGCCACGGGACGATACACAGATTAATAGAAATGGGTTAATTTCAGTGTAAGAGCTAGCCAGTAATAAGCCTGAGCCATCGGCCAAACAATTATAATTAACAATAAGCCTCTGAGCGATTATTTTATAAGTGGCTGTGGGACTGGTGGGTGGGACAGAAAAGATCTGGATATAGGACTCTACACTCATGACCTTGCCTAATCCTAGCCACAGCCCAACGGCTTCCTTTGAACACCATAGTTAAATCAGGTTTGCACCCTCCTAATACTTCATGATAAGAATGAAATGAGTTGGGGAGGGGGGGCATATAGCACATTCCAGACCTTTGTGAGCACTAAAGAGAGGCTGTCGTACAGGATGGACTACCGTATTGTGAGCTCTGAAGACATCCACGTCTGATAACAGATGCTTATGCACCCCTCCCCAGAGGAGGAAATGTGGATTTAGAAAAATGCACTCACTTTGCCAAGATTCCCCAGCAGTGCTGCATGGCTGGCAGTAGGTAATTTACCTTCATGTCACATGGCTTTCCAACTAGGCAACTGCCTGCTTCATTGAGAAGTTGTGTGGTGTCTTAGCCACAGAGGTCCCATAATGACTCTAGTTGTTTAGAAAACCACAATGATAAATGTTCCCTTAAATGTTTTATCAGCATAATTCATATGCCATATTGTTATTCTATTTAAAGTATATAGTTCCATGGTTTTAGTATATACACAACCAAGACACACTCCACATTAAGACATTGTGGAGGCTGGGGAAATGGCTCAGTCCCCAGCTCCCACGTGAAAACCCAGTCATGGTAGCTGCACTTGTAACCCCAGTGCTGGAAGGTGGAGAGAGGTAGGTCCCTGAGGCTCAATGCCCAGCCATTGTGTTCAATTAGCAAACCCTAGATCCTAGTAAGAGACCTTGTTTCCAAAAGCAAGGTAGATGGCTCCTGAGAAATGAAATAAAAAATGAGGTTGGCTTTGGCCTACAAACTACATACACACACACACACACACACACACACACACACACACACACCTGTATACACAAGAGCGTCTGTGCACACACAAGGCATGTGCAAAGAAAGAACACTAAGCGAGAAAGCTATAGACTTTCTGCCAACCCCCATCTCCCTTCAAGCCCGAGAAGCTCCTACTTTTTCATGTCCACTCACTTCCCTGATCTGGATTTTCACAAGAACAGAATTCTGTAATACGTCAACTTTATTTGGCTTCCTACACTTAGCCTAGTGTTTTCGAGGGTCACCCAACTTGGAGCATATAAATATACCTAATTCTTTTTTATGACTAACAATAACCTATGTGTGAGTGGTGGTTTGGATGAGACCGGTCTCCATAGGCTCAAATATTAGCATGCTTCGTCCCCATTTGAAGAACTGTTTGGAAGGGTAGGAGATGCGGCTTTGTTGGAGAAGGTGTGCCAACTGGGGGGGCGTCAGTTCTGAGATTTCAAAAGCCCACACCAGGCCCAATCTCTCTCGCCCTCCCTCCCTCCCTCCCTCCTTCCCTCCCTCCCTCCCACTCACCCTCTTTCTGCCTGCTGCCCAGGGATCATGACTTAAATCTCTCAGCGGCTTCTCCAGCACCGGGTGTCTCATGCAGCCATGCTCCCCACCGTGATCATAATGGACTAAGCCTCTGAAACTGTAAGCGAGCCCCAACTGAATGCTTCCTTTGAGTTTCCTGGGCCACAGCGTCTCTTCACAGCAACAGAACAGTGACTAAGATGGCATGTATAAACTCCTTTCTGTTCATCCATTTGTCTGAGACTGAACATGTGTCCTGCCTCCACCTACTGACTGTCATGTTATTCATATGACGTCATATCACTTGCGTATTATGTTTGCTGCTGTGAACACTCACATCCACCTTTTGGTGCAGGCATTAATTTTCATTTCCCTCGGGTATGTATCTACGAGTGGAATTTCCAGGTCGTGTGGTAATTCTATGTTTAGTCATTTGGGAAACTGCCCACTTTCCAATGGTGTCATCATTTTTGCATTCCTGGCAACCATGTAAGAGGACTCAGAGTTCTTCACACCACGACCAATACAACGTCTTGATATGGGGCCAACTACTAGGCTTAAAGATAGCAGAGCCTGTGTGAGTGGTAAATGGATGAGTGGGCAAATTAGCATGCATGTATAGACATAAATAAATAAATTCATCAACATTCAGAAAGATGGAAGAAAGTGATTTTCCTTGTAGCAGGATATGCCAAGTCAAAAATGTGCAAAATGCCAAGATTGGAAGTTTGTCTTCCGACAACCTTCCTGAGTTATGTTTCACGCAGGAACCAGTGATGCTCGGGAGCAGACAGGGGTTTGATGAGAAGCAGGGTGCCTACAGCCTCAAAAGACACCCCAAGATGACAGCCACAAAACGAGGAAGGGAAGCTGGAGGTGGGGGCTCATGCCTGTACCCCTAGTACACATGCTATCCAGAGAAGCTGACCAGAGATAAACAGCAGCTGAGGCAGACTGAAGTATCCTTCTTAATGAAGAACCCAACAAGCTGCAAAACATGAAGCAAAAAAACAAAAAGGAATATATTACAAGGCAAAATAAACACCCAAGTGAAAAATAGAAGAGCAAACCAAAATCTGGATGATACACTAAAACGTTGAGCATAATTAACATGTTGACCAGGGACATAGATAGATCATTTGTGTTCACCACTTCTTTTCTACAAAGAAAATGAGGAATAATTCAAAAATTGTCCATGTGCCAGACTAGTTCAAGACTCATAAAAGGTTGGGTTTTTTTGTTGTTGTTGAAAGATTTGTCTATTTACTTTTATATGTATGGGTGTTTTGCCTGCATGAATGCCTGGGCACTATATGTACACACAATGCCTGTGGAGGCCAGAAGAGGGTCCCCTGGAACTGGAGGAACACATCATTACAAACCACCATGCGGGTGCTAGGAATTGAATCTTGGGTCCTCTGGAAGAGCAGTCGGTGCTCTTAACCTGGAGTCTGGAATCTCTTCAGCCCCCAAGGACACCTTTATTTCTTTTTTCCCCCTCAATATATGTTTTTATTTAAATTAGAAACATGAATGCTTCACAGCCGGGAGGTGGTGGCGCACACATTTATTCCCAGCACTCGGGAGGAAAAGGCAGGCGGATCTCTGTGAGTTCGAGGCCGGGCTGGACCGACAGCCTCCAAAACAATACAGAGAAACCCTGTCTAGTGAAAACCAAAAAAAAAAAAAAAAAAAAAAAAAAAGAAAGAAACATGAATGCATCACATGTCAATCCTAGCTTCCTCTCCCACACTTCCTCCCTTGTCCCTCCACCAGCCCCCCCCCAACCCCTCACCCAATCCCCACATCATTCCCCAGGGATGGTGAGGCCCTCCTTGGGAGGATCTCCAAAGTCTGTCATTTCATCCAGGGTCCTTCCCCATGTGTCCAGGCTGAGAGAGCCTTCCTCTTTTTGGAATGGGCTCCCAAAGATCATTGATGCACCATGGTAAACACTGATCTACCCAAGGCCCCAGTGATTTCTGTGGCCTCCTCACTGACACTGCATTCACGGACTCTGGATCAGTCCCCTGTTGGCCTCTCAGCCATCAGTCTGGGATTCAAGAGTTCTCCCTTATCTGGTCAGCTGTCTTTGTAGGTTTCACCATCATGGTCTTGACCCCTTTGCTCATCACTCCTCCAGTCTGTCACTGTGTTCCAGGAGTTCGGTTCAGTATTTAGCTACAGATATCTACCTCTGGTTCCATCAGTCACTGAATGAAGGTTCTAGGATGGCATATAAGGTAGTCATCAACCTTATCATCAAGGAGGGGCTATTAATGTAGTCTCCCCACTATTGCTTAGTTTGCCACTTGGTGTTATCCTTGTAGATCTCTGGAGATCTCACTAGTGTCAGCTCTCTCCTCAAAGCTATAATGACTCCTTCTATTATGGTATCTCTCATCCTGCTCTCCTCTATTCTTACCTCATCTCAACCTTCCTGCTCCCCCAAGCCTTCTTCTCCCCTCCTCTTATCCCCCTCTCTTTTTCCTGGTTTCCTCTCCCCTCCCCCAATGTTCCCAATCTGCTCAGGAGATCTTGCCTCATTCCACTTCTCTGGGGTATCATGCATATCTCTTGGGAATCTCCCTTTTTCCCAGACTCTCTGGCAGTGGGATTGTAGGCTGACACTCCCCTGATCCATGTCTAAAATCCATATATGAGTGAGTACATACCATGTTTGTCTTTTTCTGTCTGGATTACCGCACTCAGGATGGTTTCCTCTAGTGCCATCCATTTGCCTGCAAATTTCAAGATTCCATTGTTTTTTTTTCCAGTGAGTAGTACTCCATTGAGTAGTACTCCATTGTGTAAAATGTGGTATACATTTTTCTCTATCCACTCTTCAGTTGTGGGGCATCTAGGTTGCTTCCAAGATCTACCTATTACATATAATGCTGCTATGAACATAGTGGAACAGACATCTTTGCATGAATGGGCATCTTTTAGGTATATGTCTAAGACTGGAATTGCTGGGTCTTGTGGTAGACCGAGTCCCATTTTCCTGAGGAATCTCCATACTGCTTTCCATAGTGGCTGTACGAGTTGGCACTCCCACCAACAATGGAGGAGTGTTCCCCTTTCTCCACATCCTCTCCAGCACAAACTGTCATTGATGTTTTTGATTTTAGCCATTCTGACAGGAGTAAGATGATATCTCAGAGTTGCTTTGATTTGTATTTCCTGGATGGCTAAGAATGTTGAGCACTTTCTCAAGTGTCTCTCAGCCATTTTATACTCCTCTTTTGAGAATTCTCTATTTAGTTCAGTCCCCCACTTTCTAATTGGATCCTTTGGTGTTTTGGAGACTTGCTTATTGAGTTCTTTGTAAATTTTGAAGATCAGCCCTCTGTCAGATGTGGGGTTAGTGAATATCTTTTCCCAATCTGTGAGGTGCCTTTTTGTCTTGCTGACTGAGGACACCTTTCTTAACATAATAAAGGGATCCACTAACAGTGAAATGTCAAGAATCCCCATGAGGGCGGGAGGAGGGAACAGTGGGAGAGATAAGACCTGAAATTTAGAAAAGAGAAACCAACTCCAGCATTTGGACTTGACGTCATTATTGACCAGGATCTATCTCTGGTGCATAAGCTGGTTTTTTGGAGAACACTCCCTGTGGTGGGATGCCTTGCTCAGCCTTCATGGAGCAATGGGCTTGGTCCTTCCTCAACTTAATGTGCCAGGCTTTGTTGACTCCCCATGGGAGGCCTTACCCTTTAAGGCAAGGAGTGGATGGGAGGGGAATGGGAGGAGGAACTTTGGTTGGTATATAAATTAATTAAAAATTAAAAGAAAGAAAACCCATAAACTAGGAAGATGACTCAGAGGGTAGAACACCTGATACATAAACATGGAGGATCTGAGTTCACATCCCACATATCCATGTGAAAATGTGGGTGTATCCATGTATGCCTATATAGTGGGCACCAGGAGGAGGAGGTCCTTGCCACTGTGTGTACACATAAATGCAGATGCCCACACGGGTACACACATCACCAACAACAAGGAGACTCAAATAGAAAGATTACAATAAGGGGTCTGGCAGCTGATTCCCATGACATCATAAGAAAGATGCCACACCCAATGGTGGGAACGCTCCATGCTGCTCAATCAGCAGATGCAAAATCTGACTTCTCTGCCCTCATGACATAGAAAAAAGTCAAAGTGATGCTGGGCGTTGGTGGCGCACGCCTTTAATCCCAGCACTCTGGAGGCAGAGGCAGGTGGATCTCTGTGAGTTCAAGGCCAGCCTGGTCTACAGAGTGAGTTCTAAGACAGCCTCCAAAACAATACAGAGAAACCCTGTCAAAAACAAACAAAAAGTCAAAGTGAGTGGCTTCTGGATTCCCATGTGAAATCAGAGCTGGTCCTCTTGGTAATAATAGAAAACAGTTGTATAATATTGATGGAGTAGGCAGTGACTTCTTCAGCAAAATATGAAAAACACTGACCAAATAGAAAAAGACTGATTAATAAGATATCAAAGTTAAGGACGTCCTCTGGGGCTAGGGACATGGCTTGGTGGATAAAATGATTATTGTGCAAGAGTGTGGACCTGAGTTCAAATCCGCAGCACTCACACAAAAAGTCAGAAGTGATGGTACACATCTGGAACATCCTAGGGCAGCCCGAGATAGGAGGCTACTCCAAGCTCACCCACTGGCCAGCCAATCTAGCTACCAGTGAGACATGGGTTTAGAGAGACCCTGTCTCAAAAAACAGGTGGAAAGCAGTTGGGAAAGAGGCCCCGTGTGAATCTCTAATCTCCAAGCGTGCATGCATTAGCCAGTGCATACATGCATACAGACACCTTCCATTCTGTCTTCCTACTCTCCTAATGTCTCTTGGTGAAAGGATGGGCTCTGAAACACTTATGACCTAGAAAAGATGTTGCCCTCATTTCCTTTCCATTGCTGTAATAAAACACCCTGGTCAAAGCAACTAGGGAAGGAAAGGGCTTATTTGGTCTAGGACTCCCTTCATGCCACATCCATCATTGATGGAAGTCAAGTCAGGAACTCAGAGCAGAAACCTGGAAGCAAAAATCATGTAGGAAAGCTATTTACTCAGTTATCTTTCTTATACAACCCAGGACTGCTTTCATAGGGAATGGTGGAACTCACAGTGGGTTTAGCCCTCCTACAACAATGAACGATTAAGGCAGTTCCTCACAGACTGCCAGCAGGCCAATGTGGGTCACCCTGCAGTTGAGATTGTCTTCTCTGATGACCCTAGGCTGTGTCAAGTTAACAGTTAAGGCTAACTAGGACAGATGCATACTCCCATTATAAAAGAATTCCTTTTGTTCAGTAAGACAAATAACTCACGTAAAGCATATAGGAGAAACCCGAACAGGCATTTTGCAGAATGATGTGCTGTATTTGGTTCTGAGATGTTCTCCAGGGCCATGTTAAAGGCTCTTTCCCCAGCTTGGTGCTACTGGCTGGTGATGGGAACTTTAAGAGGTGGCCTAATGTGAGGTCTTGGAGTCACTGGCATTGTGACCACAAAGGAGACTGTGAGACCTAGGTCTATTCTCTCTCTCTCTCTCTCTCTCTCTCTCTCTCTCTCTCTCTCTCTCTCTCTCTCTCTCTCTCTCTCTCTCTCTCCCTCTCTCTCCCTCTCTCTCTCTCTCTCCTTCTCTCTCCCTCCCTCCCCCTCTCTCTCCTTTCTCCTCTCTTTCCCTCTCCCTCTCTCTCTCTCTCTCCTCTCTCCTCTCTTTCTCTCTTTCCCTCTCCCTCTCTCTCTCTCCTCTCTCCTCTCTCTCCCTCTCCCTCCCTCCCTCCTCTCTCTCCTCTCTCTCTCTCCCTCCTTTCTTCCCCCCCTCTCTCTGTAATCTGGCCTCCTGCTGAGCAGTCTTTTCTACCATTCTCTCCTTTCCTGGCATGCTACCTCACGATAGGTCTAAAACAATGGGACAACCAATCACGAAGGAGCCTCTGAAGCCACAGCCAGAATAAAAGCAGTCTCCTGATAAATAATTAACTGTCTCAGGCCTTTTAATATAGGGATGGGAAGCTGACTAACACATGGGTATTTAAAATGGGCACTATGCAAAGATGCTTGCCTTCACTATTCCTGCGTAAAGCAAATTAGCACAGCGATGAACTCTAAGCATGTGCCCCCCACCACAGCCAGCACTGGAGATTGACTGTGCCAGTTATTCACAAATGTGTAGCACAACGTGAACTCTCATACGTGGCTGGTGGAAATATACAGCAGTTTCCTTAGGAAACCAGACAGCATTTCGTTTTCTAGTTGAGCACCCCCTACTGTGTGACCCTGTTTCCTAGCCAGCCCTAACTGTCATCCTGACACAATCCAGAGTCATCTGAGAGCCTCAACTGAGAGACTGATCTGTCAGCATGTCTGTGAGAATTAATTGAGGTAGGAGAGACAAACTCACTGTAGGGGGCACCTGAGCTGTATAAGAAAGCCAACTGAGGCCAGGCAGTGGTGGTGCACACCTTAAATCCCAGCACTAGGGAGGCAGAGGCAGGCGGATCTCTGTGAGTTCGAGGCCAGCCTGGTCTACAAGAGCTAGTTCCAGGACAGCCTCCAAAGCCACAGAGAAACCCTGTCTCGAAAAAAACAAAAAAAAACAAAAAAAACACCTTCAGGAAATCTCATAACACCTCTGTCTCTGTCTCTGTCTCTGTCTCTGTCTCTGTCTCTGTCTCTGTCTCTCTCTCTCTCTCTCTCTCTCTCTCTCTCTGTGCTGTCTACTTGTTTTTTGGGGGCAAGAATTGATTTTTGAGACACTTTCTCATTGGCCTGGGCTAGCCTGGCCAGAGAGACCTAGATATCTGCCTATCTCTGCCTCACCAGGACACCTGTCTTTTTTTTTTTTTTACTTGTTTTCATTTTTACATGAGTTCTAAGGGATCTAACTCGGGTCCTCAGGCCTGTATAGCCAGCACGTGATTGATTGAGCCCTTGCCGGTTTGTCTCGGCCTCCTAGTCTTTTGTTTCATGAGACAATGTCTTGCTGCGGAGCCCTGGCTAGCCTCAAGCTCATGATCCCCTGTGTCCACCTTCCAGGTGATTTCACAGGTGTGCAAACACCACTTTTGAGGATCTGGGTGGACACGCACCAACTTGAACTATTGTCACCCCAAAGCAGCAGAGTGGGTGCTGTCTTTATTTCAAATTGTCCCAGACAGGGTTGTCTACGTCTCCATCATTACCCTCTGAGCGGAGTGGTGTGCTAGAACCCACCAACAAAGTGTTTTGTTACCAGGTCACTGCTCCTGGGAAAGGCTTGCCACCGGAGGAACGAGGTGTTAAATGAGAGCAAGCACTACTTATCTTAGCAATGTCTTTGCCAGCTTCCTCCCGAGCACAGAGAAAAGTCCCGCTTCCCATCCTACATGAGTGACTGATTTTTGTAGAGCAGGCCTTCGCCATTATGGCATAGATGGATAGATAATGGATAGATGAATGGGGTCATCCTGAGAGCTGGGGACTCTTTTTTTCTTGGGATAGATTCCCTTTAAGGAGCTGGTAGGGAGCCACCGCATCAAGTGTGGGTTTAGTCTCCCCAGTTCTGTGTCACCAGGGTGACTGCCATTTACTGCCCTAACCGTTGCCCTTGAAAGTATGAAGTAGATGGTTGTTGTGGGGGACTGGGGGTAGATGGCACAACAGAATAAACCCTGAAGACAAGAGTTCAAGCACCCACATAAATACCAGGAGAGAGTGCTAGACCACTTGTAATCTCAGCGCTAGCAAGGTAGAGTCAATGGCTCGCCAGAACAAGCTAGCTAGCTAGACTAGTTGAATGCTCCAGGTCCAGATGTCAAGTGAGAGCCCCTACCTCGACACACAAAGTGGTAATCCAGGAAGACACTTCAGGCACCATATTCACGCTCATACGTGTGCACACACATGTGCACGACACATAAAGTGGTAATCCAGGAAGACACTTCAGGCACCATATTCACGCTCATACATGTGCACACACATCTGTACGCACGCCACACACAATCACGCGCACACACGTAAAGATAAAAATGAGAGAGTGATAAGCCAGGGCTGCTCTAAGCAGACTGGGAGGAAACAGCACAAGGGATTCTGGAACTCAGGACTCGACTGTACAGAAACTTCCAAACTTAAGGCTCCTCCGGGATCAGCCTGAGCCACCAGGCGTGTCATTAAAGTGGTAATTGCTCAGTTTGCTTTCCACCCAGCAGCTGACGCTGTCAGCCCTGAAATAGAACCCTGTACTGGATGCATCTTTTATGAGCCCCCGTGGCCTTTTGTGCTTCTTCCTACCTTATCTAGTGGGTGCCAAGTGCCCATTTCTGGACAGAAGACACCTGGGGGCATGCTTCGCCACCATGACCAAGGCAAACCCACACCTCACTCCGCTCCGGTTGCTTCTCTCTGTGGGCTGTGGTGCTGGGCGGTAAAAGGCAGGAGGTCCTGGAGGACTCTTACGGCACAGTGGCTTCCACGCTGTCCTATTTGCCCGCCCACCCTGAACATGGTGCACAAGCACCTGTGGTTTGCCTGCCATACTCTTGCCCTTCCTCTGGCTCTGATTAACTCCTTCTGCTTCTCGGCTGTGATTTTGACCTCACAGCCTCATGGCAGACAGCCCTGACAGGCCAGAGTGAGCCAGACATCTCTACTCCACAAACCTCCTGTGAAGTCCGATTTTGACCTAAGAGTTGAAGAAGACTATGGTCTTCTAGGGCCAGGAAAGCCAGGCTCCTGCCAGGGACATACACACACACACACACACACACACACACACACACACACACACACACAATCAAAGGAGATGCCAAGCAATTTAGCACCAAGACAAATAGCACAGTGATGTAAAAAAATCTGCAAATGAGTACACTGGCAACATTTAGAAGTTATTTTGAATTTTCATTTATTATTGTCTGCTGCGGGGAACTGAGGGGTGAGGGAGTATTGGAGAATGCATGCCACTCGTGTGTATTAAGGTCACAGACCAAGTCTCAGGAGCTGGATCTCTCCTTCCACCATGTGAGTTCTGGGGGTGAACTCAGGTTGTCAGGCTTGGCAGCAAGTGCCTTTACTGGATAACACCTCACTGGCCCCAAAATCTTAATTAAGGGCTGGGTACTGAGCAGGGCTTGTCAGAGTATAGAGGACTGAGCCTCATGCTAAGTTCAATACCCCAAAACACACACACATAAACAATCAGGAACCAGAGAGATAGATCAGCAGTTTCAGAGGACTTGGGTTCAATTCCCAGCACCCACATGGTGGCTCACAACTGTCTGTAACTCCAGTTCCAGGAAATCCAATACCCTGTTCTGGCCTCCTCAGACACTGTACCTATGTGTTGTTTAGACATACAGACATTAACACATACAAATTAAAACAAATATAAGAAATTAGAATGCCACTTATGGCAATGCGTACTTGTAATCAAGCAGAGATAGATGGATTCCAGGACTCACTGGAAAACCTGTTCCAGACCAGTGAGATGCCCTGTCTCAGAAAACAAAGTGGGGACCGATGAGATGGCTCTGTGGGTAAAGGCATCTTCTGCCAACCCTGATGATCTGAGCTCCTTTCCCTGGACCCACATGGGGAAAGTAAAGAACCAACTCCTATATGGTGTCCTGTGATCTTCACATGAGCATCCTGGCACAGGTGTGCACATACACATGTCCACATACACACAAAGAATAAATGATCGCAATAATTTTTTTTTCAAATTAAGGTGGTAAAGGAAGTGGGAGAAGGGCGTTTAGTGGGGAAAGACTGTGAGTTCCTTACAATGCAACACACAGTGGGGTCACAGCTACAGTGTCTCCAAGCTCTGGTCTCTCTCCCTCCCTCCCTCCCTCCCTCCCTCCCTCCCTCCCTCCCACTCACCCTCTTTCTGCCTGCTGCCCAGGGATCATGACTTAAATCTCTCAGCGGCTTCTCCAGCACCGGGTGTCTCATGCAGCCATGCTCCCCACCGTGATCATAATGGACTAAGCCTCTGAAACTGTAAGCGAGCCCCAACTGAATGCTTCCTTTGAGTTTCCTGGGCCACAGCGTCTCTTCACAGCAACAGAACAGTGACTAAGATGGCATGTATAAACTCCTTTCTGTTCATCCATTTGTCTGAGACTGAACATGTGTCCTGCCTCCACCTACTGACTGTCATGTTATTCATATGACGTCATATCACTTGCGTATTATGTTTGCTGCTGTGAACACTCACATCCACCTTTTGGTGCAGGCATTAATTTTCATTTCCCTCGGGTATGTATCTACGAGTGGAATTTCCAGGTCTCAAAGCTCAAGTGGGAATGAGGCATTACCCAGTGACTGACATGTCCCACACAGGGATCAATATCCTTCCCCTTTTATTTGTCCATTTATTGTGTTTACTCCAAAATTCCCTTGTGCAAACATTAGCCCCACCCTATCTTGTGAGAAGCTATTTGGGACCAGGGACAACCAGGATTTCTTCATGAGGCAGC